CAGCAAGTCATTTATTGCAACTTGGTTTGTTTACTATAATAAGGAAAACTGTTGCATATTAACCATAATTTTCGTTTCCTGATCATTACACATGCCAGCATTTACTTATGGGTTAGCTCCTCCCATTACAGCAGAAAAAAAACAGGAAATAGAACTCTGAAATTGGTATAAATAGATCCACCCCCTCCCCATCAGTCTTTGCAACTAACTTCACAACTCTCAAAGTAGATGGGTGTATAATGATCAGGAAAAGGAAATGACGGCATGCATGAAACAATTTTACTTATTCCTGATCAAGCATGGCAGCATTTGCTAATGGGTAATATCCAAGCAGTATATATCGTTCGAAGGACAGAGTTCAAATACAGCTAATAGTTATAAAAACATTATTGAGCTGTATAAACCTAATAAGCCTTATCAAAAGCCAAACAAGTAATGAATATGATATTGTTATAATATTTGCTCAGGTTACGATAACCAAACCTATAAAAGAAACAAGTCTAGACTAATACAAGACAAACTCCTGTAAGACACACCTGTCTTGCATCTGTCTTGCTATGGAGAATAATAAAATATATCACAGGAGAACCGCTTTAAAACATAAAGACATGGTCTACAAATTATAAACATATTTTTCAAAAAACAGATGTTAATGTTCTTCTCTAATATAGAGGGAAAAATTACACTTTTAAATTAGAACCTTATCAAAGGCATCCAGGAACAGGGCTTGTTCCAGATACCAGGCTGGAACAATTCCTGAAATTCCAGACACTTAATGATTATCAGCCATACCCTGTGGTCAAACAGAGAGGAGAAATGAAACTCAAAATGTTCTCTGGAAGTATGTATTTACTAAAGACAAAATTCTTACTGCTTCATCTTGCCTTGTGAGCTACTTACATTTAGTTACAGGAAACAAAAACAATATTTGCCTGTAAGGAAAGGGAGAGCCTCGTACAGAAATAGGAGAGTTTGTTATTAAAACACTGCAACAATGACAACATATTGCAAATATCGGATTCAACTGTGCCTCACACTGCAAATGCATTCTTTGATACAGCAATGATAAATTACAAGAGATGTAGAATCCAATAACACAAATAGTATATATTACTAGGCAAAGGCAGGTAGGGTCACATCACTCAGATAGTAGTAAAAAAAAAATACTAGGATGAACCATATAAATTGTGGCAACTACTAATTATAAGTAGGCAGTTTAGGCCAACAACATCAGGACAAACATTCAAAGATTAAAATACCATAAAAAGGTTGAAATGAAAACATACATTAGAATCAGAATGATTAGATACTGTTGATCAACATACGCAGTTAATAGGCAGGACACCAATGAACAGGTGGTAACTAGTGTCACAGGATCCATTGTGGCAACAGACACATTATAAGCAGGATTGCCATAGATATTCACTTGTCCTTATGAGAAGAAAACAACCACATACTGATGCTAACCTTATCTTCAGATAGTGATGAAGGACTTAAGGCAGAACCTATGATGAGATTATGATCCTTGTGCAGCTTTTATCTGCAAATATATTAACACCAGTCCAAACATATAATTTACAATATTACATCATTGGAATGTCAGAAATGAATGCTCTGTCTTTTGAACTGAGATATTCAGGCTGACGTTACACAGTCAGGATATCCATTAGCAGCACTCATTTTTAAAATGCATCATTAGACATATAAACTTACCTAAGTGCTCACCAAAAACCTCCTAAAATGTGACCTATTTGTACCTATACTAGTCTTTAATCTAAATTAGTAATCTACTCGCCTCAGGTGTAAGAATATAATAAACAGCCACAGAGGCAGATGAACTGGTGCAGACCTGAATTCCAGCGGCAAATGGGGGTTTGAACAACAAACTATAGGCTTTCATACACACCCTATATGCCATTCATCATCACCAGTAGGGGAAGCAAACCCCAGACATGGTTGTATTCATTAAAGAGGCGTACCCAGGCTGTCACCTTAGGTATGTGCTGTTTACTGGGACTTTAGAGAAAGAAGCTTAGCCATCACTTGGCCTCGTGTATCCTATGGACAGCTGTCAACTCCTCAGGGAGAGAGTTAGGTCAGATCTCCTGTCACTAAAGGGGTATCCAGAGAGGCAACTCTTACATCTGTGCTGTTTGCTAGGTCTTCATGGACTAGAGGCTGAACCCTGGCTAAGTCTCCAGGATCAGGACAAAGCAGATTTCTAAATATTTTTTTTATTTCAGTATAAAATGGCTGTAGATTTGCAAATCCCTGTTGCTAAAACTAACAGCAAATAGGTGATTGGTTAATACAGGATAAAGTACAGAAGCAATTCATCTGCTACACACTAATGATCCACTATTCTCGTTTCCCCATCCGCCCCTCTATGCATTTTCTATTTTACTTTCTTAATGCAACTATATTTACTGCCTTTTTCTTCTTTTTGCATGTGTTATCCATTGCTCGCTCCATTTTCCTCCCAAATCTGAGCTATGATCGATCTCCTATCGTCCACCTTCATTTCCTACTTTATATTTAAGCAAATGTTCATTGTGTGTGGTGTGTGTGTTTCAAATCATCCTCTGTGAGACACCAGTGCTTTTTGCTCCCAATAAAAGATGTGGACGCCTAAGAATTTGACGTTTCTTGTTGATTAGAGTGAAGTCGCACTTCTGCTCTTTTTCCCACCTTTTTTGCCGTTTAGTGGATGGGTGAGTGCGCTGGATCTTGTGTTTTGTTCATAAGAGCAGACATTAGGCTGTTAGTGTAGGGCCTGCCAAAGATGGGGTACATTGACGTTGTGGCAGGCTTATGCAGTGTATGATCATATAATGTAACTAAGCCCCCATTATTTTTGCCTAGATTAGGTGTTTTTAAAAAAACTAATAAAATCTGTTAACATTGAAGTTGCCGTTTAGTGGATAGGTGAGTGCGCTGGATCTTGTGTTTTGTTTCATTTATATATATATATATATATATATATATATATATATATATATAACCTCTGTATCTGTTTAATTTCCCAAGGTATCCAACATTATAAATATCTGGGTGGATCAGTTGCAAATATTGCTGATTTTTAAAGGACCACTATAGTGCCAGGAAAACATACTCGTTTTCCTGGCACTATAGTGCCCTGAGGGTGCCCCCACCCTCAGGGTCCCCCTCCCGCCCGGCTCTGGAAGGGGGAAAGGGCTAAAAACTTACCTTTTTCCAGCGCTGGGCGGAGAGCTCTCCTCCTTCTCTCCTCCTCCGTTCCTCCTCCTGGGCTGAATGCGCATGCGCGGCAAGAGCTGCGCGCGCATTCAGCCCGTCGCATAGGAAAGCATTTACAATGCTTTCCTATGGACGCTTGCGTGCTCTCACCGTGAAAATCACAGTGAGAAGCACGCAAGCGCCTCTAGTGGCTGTCAATGAGACAGCCACTAGAGGATTTGGAGGAAGGCTTAACCCATTGATAAACATAGCAGTTTCTCTGAAACTGCTATGTTTATAAAAAAATGGGTTAACCCTAGAAGGACCTGGCACCCAGACCACTTCATTAAGCTGAAGTGGTCTGGGTGCCTAGAGTGGTCCTTTAATAGGCAAAATAAATGCCATCATAAATATATTATGCAAACTCATTAGAAATTTACAGTACTTGCTATAGCGATTTCACAGGATCCACTGAAAAAACATTCCAAAGTCATATATTACAGTATATTTGGGTATACAAAACTGCAAGCAAATTTCTGTGATAATAAAGATAATGATGGCTAACAGTAACAAATTTATCGTTTAAAAGCGACAACAAAATACATAGACTGGTCAATACCAGTAAATATTTCCGGATGATGCAAATCTCACAATATAGAGTGTTAAATCAAGGAAATTACTTGCAACATTATTACAACGTTTATGCTGCGGTACACACTCTCAGTGATAAATAGTTACATAGGTTAAGAAAGACTAAAGCTCAAAAAGTAGCGAGATCTTAAAAGTTACTTGCCACTGAAAGCCTGAAGGGGCCATAGCACACTTGCCATGAGTGAATTTCTACTCGCCAGAGTTAAATTTTTACTTGTCAAGTGGAAATTTTAAAGCCCTGACTGAAGTCTATGAAATTCAGCCTTTCACGCATCTGTATTGGTGTTGCTGATAGAGTTGAGCGAACCCGAACCGCAAAGTTTGGGTTCATACCGAACATTAAGTTTTTTTGACCCTGGACCCGAACACGGACATATCACTGTATGTTCAGGTTGGAGTTTGGTGTTCGGCAATTTAATGGCGCGTTTTGAAAGGCCGCAGGGCAGCCAATTAACAAACGTTTGACTCATGTGCCCTTAGAAGCCATCACAGCCATGCCTACTAATGGCATAGCTGTGATTGGCCAGTGCAGCATGTGACCCAGCCTCTATAGAAACTGGTTACTTAGTATTATTAAACTATGCCCCTACTCGCTATACGGCGAGTAGGGGCATGTCTAATAAACAGTGAGCAGCCTGTTTGTTTCTGCTATAGAAGGCGTTCTAGAGCCCATAGCACAATGGTTGGATTTTATTTTTAAAGGGCCAGTAGAGGAGTTACATACATGTATCAAAGACACACAGACTCTCCTGCATAGAAATAAAACACTGGAATTTGATGGCAAGTTTCCAATGTTTATCACCATGGACGTTAAAAGCCTATATACAGTCATCCCCCATATAGGGGGTATTGAGGCAATGCGACAGGTGTTATGTGGTTCTTCGGTTTATCGGGGCCCACCTATCGAATTTGTATTGGAACTCTTGTCTCTAATCCTTCACAACTACTACTTTAGGTTCGAGGAACAGTGGTACCTACAGGTAGCAGGAATGTCAATGGGATCGGCCATGGCCCCAATATACATGAACGCGTACATGTATGTATACGAGACAGTCCACATACTGACCCCCTACCAGGAGAGGATCATTGGTTATTATCGTTTTATAGATGACCTCCTGATCATCTGGCGAGGTACTCTTACTGAGGCACATTCTATGGTGGATGAACTTAACTTACTCCCCACACCTATTAAATTTACAGCCAACATCAGCGAGGACAGAATTCAATATTTGGATTTGGAACTTTCGTATGGGACAAAAGGGGTCCATTATATTTTATTTTCAAAACCAACGTACCGTAACACTTTGCTACATGCAGACAGTGCACACCCCATGCCTTTGAAAAAATCTATTCCCAAGGAGCAATTCCAGTGGGTCATCCGTAACAATTCGAATGACAACAAGGCTGAGCTACAACTGAAGATTATGACCCAGAAGTTTTTGGAGAGGGGCTATGACCGTCAGGTATTGGAGGATGCGAAGTTGAAAGCTAGAATAGCTCCAGTGCGCACCAAGTTGGATCCTGTACAGAGGATAGTATTCCCCATGACGTTTCATAATTCTTCTAATGAAGTGACAGCAATTGTTAAAGAGAATTGGAGAATGGTCGCCTTGGATGATACACTACCAAAGATTTTTAAATAGAGCCCATTGATCTGTTACAGGAAAAATAAAAGCCTCAAAGACATGCTGGTACACACGGATCCTGTGGAAAGCTATTCCAGAGTGGCCAAACACAACATAAGAGGGTGCATTCAGTGTCTGGGGTGTGTAACCTGTGGACATATGATTATAGCAAAAAAGTTCAACCACCCACACACCAATAAAACATATGATATAAGACACACTATCACTTGCAAAACCCCATTCGTTGTTTACAAATTGGTATGTCCGTGTGGCCTTCACTATGTGGGGAAGACGGAAACAACCTTGTGTGAGAGGATTATGGGCCACCGTTCAAGCACTAGGTTGGCGTACAGGGATGGACAGTTGGACAAGCCAGTTGCCCAGCACTTCCTGGACAAGAAGCATCCCCTGGCATCTCTCAGGTTTGTGGGCATTAACCATATCCCTCCCCCCGGAGAGGGGGTAAAAGAGGGAGAATACTGCTTTAAAAAGAAGCATTTTGGATCCATCAACTAAAAATGAGAATGTTACTTATCATTCTTTTCTATAGGGATGTTCAGCTATCCAATATTATTTTAATTTAGTGATAGTACGTTGTTGTTTTTAATATGTATATGCTACATTTGAACATACATATGAATAATGAATTTTAAATATCTATGTAGCACTTTATCAGATATAGATTTGCCAAATTATAGTGCACTGTATTTGATGCACCTTACATTGAGCTACACGTTTGTATTACCTGTGGGGTATCTTTCACATTAGTATCATCATCATCCTAATTCTTTTTCCTTTATTCTCCTCATGTCATATTTTACATTGGGAGTGGCTTATTTAGACAAGCTCACAACTTGTATTTGTTTACACAGTAGTCTTGGAAACCGGGTCTCCTGGCTGTCCATAACGCCAGGCACGTATGATCACATGACGGGAGGCATGGCACGCTCTGTAGTGCGTGCGTATACCTGGAAGTGCACTTGGTGTCGGCGGGACGTGGCGAACACCCTGGTGAGTCATTCCACTAATTATTGATGGCATATATTATCCTTATATGCAATGTACTGTATTGTCCTGTTGTATTTGACCCTGAAGAAGGTCCCAAGCGGGGACCGAAACGTTGGTCGTCATTTTTTTTTTTTTTAATAAATTCTTTATTTTCAAAGATTTTTTTTGGGGGGGGGGAGGGGGGCAAAAACTCAGTGTTTACATTAAAAAGCGTGCAGGGACAGGATAAAGGCTCCAAAACAACTACATTAAGTTGTAGTAGTTCTAGTGACTACAGTGTCCCTTAAAAATTTTTGTTTTGACATTGAAAACTTTACTCCTAACTTTTTTAGCTGGCTTCTAGATTCCAATTAAATTTGTCAAGCCCTGGTGACGTTGGTAATCCCATCGATGTATACAAAATGTGCTTGATACATGGACTACACCTATATCCGTTATAAAACCAGGAAAAAGTGGGCATGGATGGTGAGCTGGTTTGTTGGTGCAATGGGCCACATGACTGGATTTGCCCCACTGGGCTCATGAATGTCGTTGGTGAAATGACACACTGGTGCATGTTTGAAAGTATGCCAGGTAATGGATATGTGCTTGTGATCACATTATACATAAATTAAGGGAAAACTAAAATAAAATAAAAAATTTCAGTTGGAAGCAAGCATAGTATAAGTTACATCAGGTCATAAAAGAAAATTGTTCCACCCTTCTAAGAAGGGGAGACATAGAATAAGACAGGCATAGGCAACCTCCGGCACTCCAGATGTTGTAAACTACATTGTGCTCTTCCACCCATAATGCTGGCAAAGCATCATGGGAGGTGTAGTCCAAAACATCTGGAGTGCCGAAGGTTGCCTACACCTGGAATAGGAAATAGAATATGAAATAGGGCCTACGTGAGGTCCCCTGTTAAGCATCAGTGGGAGTGTATCCCAGCGCTCCAGGGGGCCTTGTGCCATGCACACGCAGCCGGGCATAACAAGACACCCTGAATTAAAATAATAAAAGAAAATAGCAAATAATTTAAATAAGAGTAAGAAAATCACAAAGGAGATGCAGATAATAAACAGGCTCCCCAACTCACCCCGTCCATCCCTTTCAGTTATTGCAGTCCATGGTAGTCAGATGGAAGCAAACATTGGCAGGCTGTCTGCAGTATGGCAGCTTTGGCTCCCAGAGGTGTCAGGGCCCCCTTCCAGATCCCCCTTCAGTGCAACCCCCCAACAGAGTAGTCTGTGGAGAAGTTGTCAATCGGAGAGTGAAACAGTATGCTGGGCCCCCCCACCAAGGGTCCACAGGCCATCCATCTACTGCACCTCCCCTGCACCTTCAGGGACTCAGTGAGGCGTCGTCCCCTGGAATGTCTCTCTCAGCTCCGGCCACATACTTGGTTCTGCCATGCTACACTCGTGGCTACCGGTACACCGCTGCTCCACACTAGCTGGCTCCACAGGGCTCGCGGCAATGGGGACAAGTCCCTCTAGGTCCCCCTCAACCTAGAGGCTAAGTACAACATGCCTCCAGTGGGTAGATGTTCCGGGAGGCTTCTTCCGGAGGACCGCAATCCCCCAGGGTTTATGGTCGATGTGTGCCCTTCACCGCACATGAGTGTGTCTTCTTGTACCGCCACTGCCAGGTATGTTCGCATCTCATAGATATGGCCGGAGGAGGGGAGGTCGCCATCTTCAGCTGTGAGTCTTGTTGTGGTCAAAGCTTCAGCTGGCCGGGACAACCCCCACCACGCATTCTCCACTGTTGCTGTATATCGTGTCATCAGAGTTAAGCATGGAGGTAGGCCTGAGACGCTGGCGGGCTCGATATTTCTGAGTTACAGGGCCCCAGCTGGGATCCCCTGGTCGCTGATAGGTTCCCACAGGTATATGTGGCAGTAGTTAGTTGTTAGCAGGGCTCTTTTGGCTGTAAATCACTGTCTTTAAAGAGCGGAGACCGGGGCTGGCCTGGCCCTGCCCCTCGGCTAATGTCAGTTTTGAGCATATTTTGTTTTACAGGGGATCATTCACTGGTTCAGGGTGTTCAGCTGACACGCCAATGAATGACTGTCAAGATTGGCATACAGTCTGTGAAGCTCTGCAGAAGCCAGATGTGAGTCACCCGGCATGACAGCAGTCTCTGCGCCCAGCAAGTCCCAGGTAAGAAAGGAAAACTGTTACATTACTGAGGAACGGCACCAGGATACTTCTAGCATCATAACCACCACAGTGAGATTTAAATAAAGTTATATATTTTTTTCATTTTGCCCCTCTTTGACCAATATTTGATATTCAAATTTGAATTCAACATAATTTACACTTTAGTAAATAAACCTGATAGTGAAACCACCCAAGAAGCCCTAAACATTGAGACCTTTTGCAGTGGTGGAGCCTACAAATGTATGTCTTGGCTCTTTGCCTTCTAATAATATAATAATTTGAGAAAGAAATGAAAACTCATTAAACTAAAAGCCAATACAGAAGGTCTGCCAGCAGTATTGCTCCAAGCAATTTATTCTCCTACATTGCTGGCAGAGCAACAATTGTGTGAATTAAATATTATCATATTCCTCTACGGGGAAGCATTGTTTGCTTGGCATATAAGCGGTTAAATAACTTAAGCAACTAAGCACAGTGCTACATATTATTTTCTACACTTTAAAATGGTTCTACAGCCCATTTCTGACAATGTTTTGCAGGGAACACCTAACAGATGCTTACAATAACAGAATGTATAAACAGAAATATAAACACACAAACACAGCTAGCTAGGTTTGAAAGTTGCTTGCAACTGCAGATGACAATTGGGCTTGTGACTGCTGGGAATGGTCAGGACAATAGCACACTCAGAACCCATAACCCCAAATGACTTATGCAGCATCTGAGAAGTACGTACCATGTGCATGCTAGTAGTGATCTTGGATACCTTGCACTGCTGCCTGTGGAGTCCATAGTTTTAGGGAGGCATGCAGACTTTTCATTGCAGTCCTTGAAATAATCCTTGCATGGTGCCTGTGTAAACTGGTAGCGAGTTGCTGACCAGCAGAATACTACATTCACTGGAATGTTTTAAAATTCAGTTCCCCTGCTCCCATGTTTAATAATTTGCAGTTCTGGGAGATCTGGGAATTAAAATTGCTTATCGGTTAGGAGAATGGGGAAAATCCAGACCTTACTGAGAATCCTTACAGTCAGATAGGTCCATGACACACCCGTTTGGGTTACTTTCCCAAGAACAAAGGGTGAATTTCAGGAATTGCACCCACCTATAGCTTGCAGGGTTCACAAATCTCCTAGTCTCTGGATTGCTAAAAAGATTGATTTAACAGGCCCTGGGGAGGTAGTGCAGCTAAGTGGACAAGGTCACATGTATGAGTGTGGGTATAGATGGTTGGGAAAGAATGTGTGGGTGGGATTATGTTCTGTGTAAGTTAGTGGGGGGGTGGTCTTACCTCAGTGCCACTTGGGATTCAGGCCAGCAAACAGCTTCCCTCCCGCCCGTCCTATAAGTATATTTAGTCGCAGCTAGCCGGGGTATGTCCTTGCCAATTGAGTTTGAGGGGTTATGTTTAAGTATATGGAATGAGATGAACAAGTTTTCAGGTCTCAACATCCCCTGCTCTAAAGGGTTAACCTTAGGTTACCTGGTATGTCGTGCCCACCGATCGTGGATAAGGTCGGCTGGTGGCAGGCATTGAAAGGAAATTAGTTTATGCCGAGGGGGGAGGTGAGAGGAAGTGGTACATAGGCGCATGGTCAGTTTATTGGCAAGGACGCTTGGGTTCACTGTATGACACTATGTGTTAAGTTATATATATATATATATATGTGTGTGTGTGTTAAGTTATGGTTATTTATGTTTAATGTTTTGGTTACAGAAAAGAAGAGAAAATATTAAATAAATTATGGATGCGTTATACAGTATTTATCATATGTTATAATAAATGCTGTGGCCTGTTTCATCCATACTACGTTGTCTGTCATTATTTTGGAGGGTTGATTTGGGTTGGTTTATGTATTATGCTG